CCCCAAAACCCCAAAACCCCAAAACCCCAAAACCCCAAAACCCCAGAAGAAGAAAAATATTGAAAAATATATAATAATGAGGCTTGCATTGTATCTTACCATAATCTTGGGTATTGCCCAAGCCCAGTTCGCTTGTCCTACCTTTTCATGTGGGAAGATCAAGGTATTTCAAGAAAATTATAAATATAGAACCAAAACGGAGAAAAGAAATGCGTAGAAGTCAATGACAAAGGAGATCATTTCACCACCCAACATTGAGATAAGGATGAGTTCTGTAGTGCATCTCTTTGGAAAAATCCATCTCAAGCAACTGCTGACGCTTATTGATACAAGAGACACGAGATGAAATCGATAAACTTTACAGTTCCAGGAGACTACTGTAACAATACAGTAGAGTGATTTGGTAAACAAGGAGAGGTAGATTGAATCAAGAACAAATGTACCCTAACTACTGATTCGCCCTATTGCGATTTAGGACCTAACAAGCATCAGATGTGCAATGTAAGATATAGAATCCTTTTGAAAAGTTTTTCAGTTGCTATTCTAACACTAAATAGGTGAACCAATACTGCATGAATAAAGTATGTGTCCCGGCTAAGAAAGAAGGTCAAATCTGCAGAGGAAGGTATGAATGTGAATTTGGCCTTCAATGCTATGCTAAAGGCCCATTATTTTCAAAGTTTAAATGCTATCCTCCCCACAAGCTTGGTGATGACTATGAATTTGATACTTCAATGATGACAAATGGGTATGATAACTTCCTAGGATATGACAGTGTCTGTGAATCCCACTATTCTGTAATAAATGAGGGTAAATCTCTACTTAATCCATAGATTATCCAACTAGAAGGATCTGTAGAAAAGGAGATAGGAGTGAAGAGCAGGATACCAATAAACTAAGACAGAGAGAAGGAATTGGAGGTTTCTGCAATTATTACACCTATAACGATCCTTCAGCACCAGGTAGTCCTGTTAAGGTCAAAGATTACTCCAAATGTGGGTTTAACAGAGATAGCTCAGCATGGTAGTTAGATAGACTTAACATATAGGTGCTCACTAAGAAGAGGAGACAACTCCTTTACTAAAGTTCTTGAACAAATTAAAAAAATCGATTGGAATGACATAAACTGACATGTGTATTCTAACATCTATGGATGAGATGAATTTAGTAAAATAGACAAGGATCTTATGAAAAAATTTGAAAAGCTCATGAAGCAGACTGACAATTCATTTGGATCCCCTGTAGTTGCCAATAATGATAAGTAAAAGTTTCCTTGAGAATTATAGATGCGTTGCAGAAACAATCACAAGCAGCTTCTGGCAAGGAGACAGTCCAAACAGTGCAGACTACCTATCATTGACCCTTGCTAGTGTTCTTGTAGTCGTGCTATACATGACTTAGATATAAATCTCACGATACATCAAGAAGGAATTTTCAGCGAAATTATTCAACATCCAATTACTAAAATGGGGTTTTGGGGTTTTGGGGTTTTGGGGTTTTGGGGTTTTGGGGTTTTGGGGTTTTGGGGTTTTGGGG